TCTGTAGATGTATATATATAGTAGAGTACATTAATACAGTATGTTCCCTAGACTATCCATTTCAATTTCGAATTCTATAAAGCTGTTAAATAAACTTTATAAAATGAATTACGCTGTACTCTGAATGCTGTACTCTGTACGCTCTACTTTGTACGCTGTATTCTGTACGCTGTACGCTGTACTTTGTACGCTGTATTCTTTACGCTGTACTCTGTACACAGTTTCTAAATATCATTGGTTCAATATTTTCCAGTTTGTGAATATCCTTGGGTCAATATTTTACAGTTTCTAAATATCCTTGGTTTAATATTTTACAGTTTCTAAATATCCTTGGTTCAATATTTTCCAGTTTCTGAATATCCTTGGTTTAATATTTTACAGTTTCTAAATATCCTTGGTTTAATATTTTACAGTTTCTAAATATCCTTGGTTCAATATTTTCCAGTTTCTGAATATCCTTGGTTCAATATTTTACAGTTTCTAAATATCCTTGGTTTAATATTTTACAGTTTCTAAATATCCTTGGTTTAATATTTTACATTTTCTTAATATCCTTGGTTTAATATTTTACAGTTTCTAAATATCCTTAGTTTAATATTTTACAGTTTCTAAGTATCCTTGGTTTAATATTTTACAATTTCTTAATATCCTTGGTTTAATATTTTACAATTTCTGAATATCCTTGGTTTAATATTTTACAGTTTTTGAATATCCTTGGTTCAATATTTTACAGTTTGCTGTATTCTGTACGCTGTACTCTGTACTGTTTACGCTGTACTCCGAACGCTGTACTCTGTACACTCTACTGATAAACTCTATACTGCACACTCTACGCTGTACACCGTACTCTGTACACAGTTTCTAAATATCCTTGGTGTAATATTTTCCAGTTTGTGAATATCCTTGGGTCAATATTTTACAGTTCCTAAATATCCTTGGATTAATATTTTACAGTTTCTAAATATCCTTGGGTCAATATTTTACAGTTTCTAAATATCCTTGATTTAATATTTTACAGCTTCTAAATATCCTTGGTTTAATATTTTACAGTTTCTAAATATCCTTGGTTCAATATTTTACAGTTTCTAAATATCCTTGGTTCAATATTTTAAGGTTTCTGAATATCCTTGGTTCAATATTTTAAGATTTCTAAATATCCTCGGTTCAATATTTTAAGGTTTCTAAATATCCTTGGTTCAATATTTTACAGTTTCTAAATATCTTTGATTCAATATTTTAAGGTTTCTAAATATCCTTGCTTCAAAATTTTACAGTTTCTAAATATCTTTGGTTCAATATTTTACAGTTTCCAAATATCTTTGGCTCAATATTTTAAGGTTTCTAAATATCCTTGGGTCAATATTTTACAGTTTCTAAATATTCTTGGTTTAATATTTTACAGTTTCTAAATATCGTTGGGTCAATATTTTACAGTTTCTAAATATCCTTGGTTTAATATTTTACAGTTTCTAAATATCCTTGGCTCAATATTTTACAGTTTCTAAATATCCTAGGTTCAATATTTTACAGTTTCTAAATATCCTTGGATCAATATTTTACAGTGTCTGAATATCCTTGAATCAATATTTTACAGTTTCTGAATATCCTTGGTTCAATATTTTACATTTTCTAAATATCCTTGGTTCAATATTTTACATTTTCTTAATATCCTTGGTTCAATATTCTACAATTTCTTAATATCCATGGTTCAATGTTTTACAGTTTCTAAATATCCTTGGATCAATATTTTACAGTTTCTAAATATCCTTGGTTTAATACTTTACAGTTTCTAAATATACTTGGTCCAATATTTTACAGTTTCTAAATATCCTAGGTTCAATATTTTACAGTTTCTAAACATCCTTGGATCAATATTTTACAGTGTCTAAATATCCTTGGATCAATATTTTACAGTGTCTAAATATCCTTGGTTCAATATTTTACAGTTTCTTAATATTCTTGGTTTAATATTTTACAGTTTCTAAATATCCTTGGTACAATATTTTACAGTTTCTAAATATCCTTGGTTCAATATTTACAGTTTCTAAATATCCTTGGTTCAATATTTCACAGCTTCTGAATATCCTTGTTTCAATATCTTACATTTTCAAAATATTCGTGATTAAATATTTTAATGTTTTTAATATCATTGATTTAATATTTTACAGTTTTTAAATATCCTTGGTTTAATATTTAATGTTTTTAATATCCTTGGTTCAATATTACATAGTTTCTATCCTTGGTTTACTATTATACTTTTTTGAACAATTTATTTCCAGATTCCTCAAGCACAAGAAATTTAAATTTTAAAAATTGAAGATAATTTTAAAAAGTGAAAATAAATATGTATTTGAATTAAAAGTTTTATAATGTTAATAAAGAACGCTTATCTTTTTTACCTTGAGAAAAGAATTGAAGTCAATTTGTTTAAATAGATAAGAACCTTTAATAATTTAAAAAAGCACCAATGCAATGCATATTACCTGTACATTAATAAATTATAAAATAACTGTGCACAATGCTTTTAACCCCCCCCCCCCTTTACTAAAAGTAAACATATATCTGTACCATCATGGGTTTTTCTGAACTGGACTTTGCTGCACCGTCCTGTACGGAACTTTACAATACTGTACTGTACTTTACAAAACTGTACTATACTGTACAGTATTGTACTGTACTGTACTGTATTGAACTGTACTGAACTGTACTGTACTGTACTATATAGTATTGTACTGTTCTGTACTGGATTGTAAAGAGTACAATGTACAGAGTACAATGTAAAGAGTACAATATACAGAGTACAATGAACAGAGTACAATGTACAGATGCACACTGTACGATGCACAATGTACGCTACACACTGTACGCTGTACACTTTACGCTGTACACTGTACACTGAGCGCTGTACATTCTACGCTGTACACTGTACGCTGTACACTGTACGCTGTACAGTGCACGTTGTACACTGTGCTCTCTGTAAACTCTACTCTGTATCTGTAAGCTGTACTCTGTACGCTGTAAGCTGTACTCCGTACTCGGTAAGCTGTACGCTTTACTCTGTTTGCTGTAATCTGTATGCTCTACTCTTTACGCTTTACTCTTTACGCTGTACTCTGTGTGCTGTATGCTGTACACTGTATTTTATTTATTAGTGCTTTTATAAAGTTAAAACTTTACTGCTAACTCAGGAAAAAATATAAGGTAAAATATTCATTTATCAATTTATTTTAAATAGTTTTCAATGCAAATTATAAGATAGTTTAAGCAATTAAGAAAACATTTATGAATCATTTTACTAAACAACATTTGTTTCTTTCAGGAATGATTCTTTCGATTTTATCTATTCTTTTTGCTGGATATCTGGCCTCCTGTAGCAGGGTAAGTTTTTATATCAATTCAAACCCTATCCTATTTATAGGCAAAACAGTATGCAAGTTCTTTTGATAAAAGAATAACTAGACATAAGTGCTGAAAATAGTTATTCTACTGATACCTTTCATAGAAACTAAGTCAATGCCAGAATTTTATAATCCTTATAACTTTGCCACATGATGGTGTAAACTTTTGATATTTTAAACTTATGCTATTTGATATAACAGAATTCATAGTTTGAAAAATTGGAAAATCAGAGTTTTTAGCAAAGACTCAATTCATATTATTTTTTGATGCAATAAACCTTTCTTTGAAGCATTTTAACTTTTTAGTATTCTGCTAGTTTTTTAAAGAGCTACAGCAATGCCCAAAAAGAAACTAATCAAAACTATTTTTATACTTGCTATCAGTCAGTATTGTTGACATCATATTTAAAATTATACCTAAATCTTTTTTAATTGAATAAATACATTCAATTAAAAATAAAATAGTGATGGAGGGAGAGGGGATTTAAACACATTGTAATGTAAATAAACTGTGTTAAACTCCTAAATGTTGCAAACCTATACCTATAGAATACTTCAGGTAGAATGTAGTGAACTAGTGAAAACTAATAAATCAAACAATAATAAAATAAAGAATACAAATCATATATATTAAAAAAGATAAAAATTCACAAAATTAAATTTGAAATTGAATATTTTTGTTTAGAAACTGCTTCAAGAATGAGGGAATGGACTGGATAGAGTTTGAAAGTATGAATGTGGCTAGAGTATACTTTACCCTGACTACACTAGGAGACAAGATACTTGCTGCAGGAGGATTAACTGGACAGGAGTATGTTCTATGTTTAATCTTATTTGTTTTATAAACCTTTTTGTTCTTTATTGATCAACTAGCTTTCTTTGTTATTAAAAAAAGGATGTTTCTAAATTAGAATATTGAATTATTATATAAACATTCTCACAAACTGGAATCCTTCAGTCAAATCCATTCACCTGTTAATATTTGTTTAATAGATATACTGCTACTGTGGAGGTGTTTGATGGATCCTCCTGGAAGCTTCAAAACTATGAATTAACATCTGTAAGAGAGGATCACTGTGCTGTTCCTATCAGGTATACACTTTATTTATATATATTAATCATGACAAGTGCACACATATAATTAATCAATAATGATGAAATAAGATGAATTCTTATACAGAATATATGCTGTTGTCAAATATTTTAACCATATGTTTTCAAAATGAATCTAGTAAGATGTATCTACTGATATTTTTATTACAAACATTGTTCAACTTTGCTAAAATCCCCTTTTTAAAAGAACAAACTGTTAATATTTAAAGATATCTTACATCAAAAGTTGGCACAAATGAACAGAATCATAGATAATATCATCAAAAATAAAACTGTCAGCATTTTTTAATTCTTTTTATATTTCTTAACATTTTGTATTCTAGTGAGAGTCAAGTCATGCTGCTTGGAGGATGGTCTAACGGCTTCTTATCTCTTGTTGAAGTCTACAGTATTGAAGAGGGATTCATTGCAGAGCTTCCATCAATGCCAACTGCAAGGTAATCTTTCTAAAATATATCTGAAGACTGAAACTTTAAAAATGTTCTGTTTTACATCTTTCATGATTTTTTTCATATATTAAAAGTATCAATATTAAATTGATGAATAAGTTTGAAAATACTCCTCACATATACATACAATGAATATACAATAATATACAATTGGATTTATTGAATTTAAATATTCAAATCTAATATTATCAGAGATACATAATCTTTAAAAAAATAATAACAAATTGATCTTAAAATTTTTTTTTATTTCATACTTATACTCTTTGTCTGTTGCTTTCTAAATAAAAAATCTTTTTATTGCTATTAAAGGAATTGTTTTGTTGCCACACACTCTCAATTTCTAATTATAAATCTTTGCAACCCAATTTTATAGACCTCTCATACTTAATATAATGAATTCTGTAAGATAAAATTATCTAAATTTGAGAATAAAATGTTCAAACCATATCATATATATAAAATAACATAACATTTAACTAAACTTTCTAAAATTATATTTTGTGAATATTGTGTTTAATATTTGTTTTTTTAGGACTGGACTAGCATGCAGCATGTTTAAGGGAGAAATATGGACAGCTGGAGGATTTAATGGTCGAGTATACAATGCTTTTAAAGGAAACAATGGTAATGCTGGGTCTCTAGATTTTGTAGAAGTCCTCTCACTGTTTACAAACACCTGGAGGAGTGGTCCTAAGCTGACCAGGGGGAGAAACTACCTAACAATGGAGGTGCTGGACAACAGCCTGGTAGTATTTGGAGGGAACAATGGGTTGGGAGGGTCGGGAGTTGCAGACAGCATGGAGATCCTTGAAGGTGAAGAGTGGAGGGAGGAACCTCTGCAATATCAACATTATAGACATGCCTCTGTATCAATTCCTTGTAATTGATACATAGATGTTCATTCTATTGTAACTTAATTAATAATTTGATTTAAAATAGTGCCTTTTCTAAAAATAAATTGGATTTAATGCAGCAATTTCTTGTTTATTATTCTGAATAAAATGAAAAGGAGTAAGTACAGAAGTGTAAAGTTTTAAATATCACACTTTGAAACATAAAAAATATAAATATGTGTGCAACTAAAAAAGTTCTTATCATTATATTATCTATGGTTTGATGAAAAATCGATCAAAAAATATCTACTTGATACTTGATGCTATCTAACCAATTCTTTATTTATCTAGGATACAGAAAGGGAGGGAGTTAAAACATAACTACTACCAAATTTTCTTTACTCGACTAAACCTTAGTCAAAGGGGAATAGACCATAAAGTATAACTACTAGGGTCAACAAAAACCTAGGTAGAGGTGCATCTTGTTATTTCAAAGGAAATTCTACTTGGAAATGAATCAACAAAACCAGAATTTCAAATACATGTTCCCATGCAAATATTATTTGGTTACTCGTTATTCAATTATAGATGATTTAAATCTTATAAATGAAGGATGCTCGCCATAAAGAGGAACAAGTTAAATGGCCAGGAAAAACTCTGGACTAGAGATTGAGTAAGAATCAAAATTGACCAGGGATTAAATAGACAGGAGACAAATCTTAAGTCTTAACCGATAACTCAACTCTAAGATAACTTTGCTAAACTCTTTAACTTTCAACCGTTCACAATAAAACTTACACGTCCGCCACGCTAAAGAAAACAGTTCCAATTTCTTTTAAATGATTATCAATCTTACTAGGAAACCAGGAGCTAAGGTAAGGATGGATTTGACCCAGTTCTGTATTTTGTATCCCTCTGTAGAGTTTTGTATATTGTATTCCTCTGTAGAGTTCTGTATATTTTATTCCTCTGTAGAGTTCTGTATTTTGCATCCCTCTGTAGAGTTCTGTATTTTGTATCCCTCTGTAGAGTTCTGTATTTTGTATTCCTCTGTAGAGTTCTGTATCTTGTATTCCTCTGTAGAGTTATGTATTTTGTATTCCTTTGTACAGTTCTGTATTTTGTATCCCTCTGTAGAGTTTTGTATTTTGTATTCCTCTGTAGAGTTCTATATATTTTATTCCTCTGTAGAGTTCTGTATTTTGTGTTCCATTGTAGAGTTCTGTATTTTGTATTCCTCTGTAGAGTTCTGTATATTTTAATCCTCTGTAGAGTTCTGTATTTTGTATCCCTCTGTAGAGTTCTGTATTTTGTATTCCTCTGTAGAGTTCTGTATTTTGTATCCCTCTGTAGAGTTCTGTATTTTGTATTCCTCTGTAGAGTTCTGTATTTTGTATCCCTCTATAGAGTTCTGTATTTTGTATTCCTCTGTAAAGTTCTGTATTTTGTATCCCTCTGTAGAGTTCTGTATTTTCTATCCCTCTATAGAGTTCTGTATTTTCTATCCCTCTGTAAAGTTCTGTATTTTGTATCCCTCTGTAGAGTTCTGTATTACTCTCTGACGCTTTAGCAGTCTCCTGTAGACAATAACTAGTCCTCCGTCCTCTTTATTCTCCCCCACCCCTCCTCTCCTAATGTGTTTATTATCATGATGCCCCCTCCCCTTCATGGGGATTGCGAGAAGACTTGTCAAACAAGCTTATGTAATGTATATGGTCGGCTATAATCAAGTATCTGTAGTCAATGCTTTATTTAATTTATTTCAATTTCTAAACGCATTAAATACGCCATACAGTCACTTTAATATAGTTTCAATAGTGTCAAGTTTGTTTGTATAAAATTGACGTCAATTTGTTTAAAAAATCATTCTCTAGGAATATACCAACGCCTAATAAGAAATTCATGTTGCACTGTACTTTCTTTAACTGCTAGTTTGAAATATCACTTTTAATATTACGGGAAAACATTTAGTTTTTCACTGAAAATTCCGTTCGATACCCAAGTTTATTGAACTTTCATAAACAAATAATTTACTATTCTGGACGAAATAATGAGGTTCTGACGCAGTAATAAAAAACAACATTTAAACAAGTAAATCTGATTAAAAATTAAAAGAAATACACAGTTAATATTAGGGAAATATTTTTAAAAACCCAAAACTACCCTGTCAGGGCTCAATAAATTAACAATCTTCATTAAAAGTCAGGAGATAAAATACTGTGTCACATGTGCGAAAAATGTTTGAAAATTTATAACAACTATAGACGCGGCACATTGGGCGAATATAGATCGTCTTTGACTTTATGTCGAAAAAACTAGAAAATTAAACACAAGGTTTAGACGAAAAAATGAACTCACTAATATACGTTAGTTTTACTCGTGTCAATCACGCCATGAATGAACAAGATCCTGCATAGTGTTTTTTAGACGAGATAGACACGAGCATAAACAACAGGAAATTAACTAAAGAATTCTTGATTTTTGCACTCGTTTTTATCACGGCATGAATTTACAAGATTATCAAGTGGCAGCTTTGCCATGTGTACAATATGTAAAGAGGGCTGGTGAAAAGCTCGCGTCATTTATTTCTCAGTTCCCAACCAGTCAGATCTCGTCAAAAACCTGTGTTTTGTTTGTTGGGTAATATCATGTTCGTTTTCCTTTATTTCATTCAATAAAAATTTAAATCTAGAGTTTTCGTTATTCAAATCAAGAAAAATCTCTGGTTCTAGTGTTGGTTGAGTTGGCGTAGGGTTTGAGGTTAATACACCATGTTCAGTAGTCTCCGTGTAGACTTGAGTGGGAGTAACAGGGGTCAATGCACTAGGAGTAACAGAAACCATGGTATTATGAGTAACAGGAGATACTGTACTAGGAATAGGGGTGTTTAAGCTTTCTTTTTCCGCCATTAATTGGTTATAGATTTGTCGGTACTGCGGTGTAGGGAATCTAGTCTTTAAGGCTATTAATTTATTAAATAATTCTTGGTGAATGTTTGGCCCATATAACGGTATGTCTAGAAGTACTGCAAAGACGTTTACGTCCGTATTTTTTAATATTGGCACTGGTTTATTTAAAAATGCTATTAATGGTTCTAAAAATTCTTTTCCTATGTACTCAGTTCTTGGTTGTTTTACAAGGGTTATGTATTTTTTTAAACAGGGTACACAGTTTTGTCCATACATTATTATATTAGAGCACCCAACAACTTTATCTTTATCTACAAATTTTCCATCTTCTGCTATTGATTCCATAAATTCGATAAGTGTCCTTCTTTTTCTTGCATTAGAATACTCATTAATTGCAGTTTGTAATTTTTTATATATATTAAATTCTATTTGATGTTCAGTTACACGGTCTTTTTGTTTTTTTGAAATGTCTAATCTTTCAAAAAATTGGGTTATCCAATTTACTAGTTGAAAAAGCAAAGAAATTCGGTTTTTGTCAATGGTATTTGGAAATATTTGCTCCAGGCTAACTTTCAAAATTGTCATTGCATCCTTGTTGTTTAAAAAATCTATTGCAAAAGTTTGTTTAAAGTTCGAGATTTTAGTATAAACTGTTGCTAATTCATTTGTCGAAAAAGTAGGGAATGAGTTAAATAAGTTAGTGAGGAGTAATATCCAAACAAACAAATTCATTTTATCTACTTTGCTCAATCACCTGTCTTTGTATTACTGCAATAGCTTGTCTGCTAAAATGAATCTGATCAAGAGCACATAAAGGACTTTTTGTAATACTTAGGAAACCTAAAAGAGTTGAATTTGATAGTACCCCAATATTGATGTCGGACTTCAGTGAATTGATTACTTTTCTGAATCTATTGGCTGTACTTTTGTCATAAAACAAACATTCAGAATTTTCAATAATAGAAGTAGCTCTTGGGGGTGGTTCAACAAAAACGATGTTTTTTGTATACATTGACAAAATTTCCACCAGACTAGAATGGATATTTAAACATTTACTTTCGTCAAACTTGGTTAGACAAACATGTGTTTTGTTATTTACTTTGTGGAGTTTAGAAGGAAGCAGATCATTTCCGGATAAATAGATAACCTTTTTGTACTGTTTGTTTTTGTCTCTCAATGTACTATCAATTGATTTTAAGTTAATTTTGCCTTTAAAAAGAATGTTATCTATTTTCCTTCCATTTCTGTCATTATGCTGTACGACCTGCTTGGCTAACGACGATCCCAAAACCAGAATGAAAAGAAACTAGAAAGAAATAATCGGTGTATTGTCCTGTCCTTTGTGTATTAATATACAAATATAAAAAACATTATAATCAATTTAGATAATTGTACAAGAAAAACGAATTTTAACTGAATCATAAAGTTTATTTTTCTATTATTTTAGATAAAACAAAATTGTGCCTGAGAAGCCTTTTTGTTATTAAAAATGATAATGATTCAATTTATGGATTATGGAGCAATCCATTTTATTTTTGAGATTAATTTTATTACGAAAGCTACAATGTAAATGTTTGTTTCTGATTATAGGCTAAATATAAAAGATAAACAAGTTTTGTTTATGAGAAAAGTATAATAAGTATATTAATAATATATATATATATCTATGGATATATAGAAACAGAGCCTGATCTTATAAAAGTTGAAAATATAAAATTATCAATATTTAAATATGAAATTCATTCATAAAGCCAATTTAGTTCGTTATAATCGTAATTTTAAAAAATATCCACATCTATGGCTATGACTGAGAATCAGGCATACATAAAGTAAAAAATTACGAGCCAGGCAAAGTGTTTTAGCATACTAACCCTTAATTGCAGACACTTTAACAAAAACAAATTTGGTTGAATCACGATAATTTGTTTTTGAAAATGATCAAGAAAATATATGATATAAAATGGAATCTGAAAACTTGGTCAATTATTTATAAAATCAGGTCTGAAGAACCTGTAAATAAATTGATTCATTAAAAATATTGGATTTAAAGAGTGATCCGTTTAAAATATACAAATAATAAATAAAAGCTGCAGTGGGGTTATTGTTCTTATAAAGCTCCAAATAAAAGATAAAGAAGTATATATATATAAATATGCCAAATAAAGATCAAAAGAAAAATAAAAGATCTACAATAGTAATGTTTGGTTACAAAAATATAATTAATATAAAAA